AGGAACTCCAAAACATTGACATTAGCAGGGTTAATGCAGAAATTTTGTCAATACTTCCGAAGGAGGATCCTTCTCTTAGAAACTGCCGTGAACAGGCGTATACAACTCAAGAGTGTGTAGAGAATGGTCCCAAAAGATTTTACTGGGTATCGACATCAGCAAATAACATTAAGGTATAGCATCAAGTCGTTTTGTCTGCATGCCTCCGTTATTCTGTAATTAAATTAGCACGTGATCAACCTTTATAACTGGTCATTTAAGGGTGGAGATAACAAAAGAGAGGATTCGGAAAGCGTTTTATTGGCCAGGTATCTTCAGAAATGTAAGTGAACATTGCATGTCTTGTGACAAATGTCAGAAAGTTGCAAAACGAAGTAAAATTAAAGCACATATGCTACCTACACCTATCATTTTAATTCAGTAAAATATCAATGGACATTGTTGGACCATTACACAGACCAAAAAAGGGACATCGTTTTATCCTTACTACTGATGCAACCCGATACCCAGATCCATTTGCATTGAAAAAGTTGCGAAGCTGAGAATGTAGCCAACTGTTTGATTAAACTTTTCATTAATGATGTTAATTACAAAGTTAATGTCGGTGGACGTAGAGGTATTGTAACATATCATATCAACCTTTTGAAGAAGCATACTCGTGCAGTTATGCATATTACAAATGACCGAGAGGACACTCACATTAAGTTAGAACAGGTATTTTCTTATGATAACAATGAGACACTGCAGGATATTACATTTAATCAGCAGTTGATAATAAAGAGAAGTCACAATTGCAAGAATTGTGCCAGTCGTACGAAGATGTGTTCACAATTGTACCAGTGAGATGTTCGTTAGCAACACACAGTATTCGGACAATAAAAATAATACCAATTTCCAAAAGACCGTATCGCATTACGATTTCAAAACAAGAGGCATTTAAGCGACAGGTAGATGACATGCTTAAGCAGGGAATCATTGAACCATCAGAAAGTGCTTGGAGTACACTTATCGTCTTTGTGACTTAACCAGACAATTCAATCAGAATGTGCATTGATTATAGAAAACTTAATGACATAAGTTTATATGACAATGTATTTGAAAAGATTAGGCAAGCAAAATATCTGAGTCAGTTTGACTTATCGAAGGACAATTATCAGATCCCGCTATCTGAAGACACCATAGAAACATCAGAATTTGTGACGCCATATGGTCTATACGTGTTCGAAATAATGCCGTTTGGAAAGAAGAAATCACCAGCAACCTTTGATCGGGTCATGGTCCGTGTTTGGGGTGGATACAGTAATGCCGTAGCCTACTTTGGTGATACAATAATCTTCAGCGATACATGGAGTGAACATCTGGATCATATCAGAAATGTACTTAATAAAATAAAATCTGCAGGATTAACCATGCGTCCGACGAAGTGCAAACTTGTGGAAAGTGAAATTTTGTGTCTCGGCTCTGGAAAGACAAGACCAGACCCCAAGAAGATTACAGCTATGAAAGAATTTCCATTACCATTGACAAAAAAGGATCTACAAACAATTTGGAGGACTAAGAGCATACTATAGACAATACATAAGAAACTATGCCAAGATAACATCCCCTCTTAATGACTTTCTTAAAAAGGACAAACCAAACTTATTAAAATGGGATGAAAATGAAACAAATGCATTCAAAATTCATAATCCGTTAGTTTGATTAAACAAAATGAATGATCGTAATCAGAGACTGTTAAGATGGTCACTAGCGTTACAGCCATATACATTTGAAATAAAATACAGAAAAGGCAAACAAATGCAAATGCCAATGGCTTATCAAGGTTATCAGTATGATTATAATGTTGGGATTTATACGTCATATTTGTTCATAATATTATTCAGAGTGGAATAATTTTGAAAGGAAATTTCAATATTAGTGGTTAATTTTTCAAAGTGCAATATATATAATGTCTTTTATACCAAATCATGTGATAAAAAGGCATTCATAATGGAGTGTAAATAGAAAAAAAGTCAGTGCAAATTGTGTGATTAAAATCAGAAAATGTTTCAGTGGTATAAGACTTAAATTTCACTGTATTTTTATAATGAACTGGTTAAGATTTCAACTTTAGAAGGTTAAATTTTTAATTTGTGTGGGAAGGTGTTAGGACTGAAAATTGACAATATTTTACTTTAGTGATTTTATTTTTTTCTATAAGATAAGGAAGAATTAATGACTGCAGAACAGTTTTATGAAGTAAATGAACTTTACTGACTAGTGTGTCTGATTTATATTTTTATACTTGGATTTTCCCATAGCCATTGACAGATCTTTCCGGTTATATAATTAGAAAAACAATTGAACTATAGCAGTTGAAGGAATGTAATTGCAGAATCTTACTATTGAATTAATTGTAAATGTAATCTCCTCATACATATGCATAATTAAACTATTGACCATTTGGCGTTAACCTGGTATCCAATGTATCATTTTTTAAGATACAGTAGTAAAATAAACTGCTTCGCCGAGCGCAGCTTGATACGACCGCAGAGGTCCAACCCTAAGCAGTTGGGGCAAAAATTGACACAATATTCAAGCTTGATACAGGTCTGAATTTGGATTGTAATTAAATAATTGACACATTATAGGTTTCTGACACCGAATAAATGTAGTCAAAGAACTTGAAATTGGTTTTATGATTTGAATTTATATTCAATTGAAGATTTCTTGCTGTTGTGCAATACACTGTGCTGTTGTGCAATACTTATAGTCCGTTTGACTTCTATAAATCTTCAAAAAATAATTCTTAAAAATTCATTTTTACAAATAAACTTTTTTTTTTTCTTGATGTATGTTAATGTATGATATATACGAACTCCGACTATGAATATCATAATTTTGGGCCAATAATCAAAAAATTTACCCATTAGGTCTCTATGTTACTTCTATTTTTTTTTTAATAAAATACTTGATGGAGTAAGTATGAATAGTGTAACAGCCTTCCATTCAAAACAAAAACATAAGACATGTGCTTTAAACCTGTTTCATTGTGCCATGTGACTTAACTCATTTAAATATCAAAGGACACTATACATGTCATCAAAAATGACCATCATCTAAGTTTTTTTATAACTGGTTTTTATACGATTTTATAAGTGAACTTGCATGTATCTACAAAGATGTTATTTGTGGGAAAAATATCATAATCAGATATTTAATTTTATTTTTATTCCTTACCAAATCTTCATTTTTGTTACCTTAATTTGATTATATATTTATATATATCTGATAAAAGAATAAAAGCAAGCTTTTATTGCTTAAATCATGATGACAGTATTAACAAAATGGAGAGGCTCTAAAAAGTTTAATCAATAAGTATTTACAGAATCCATTCAATATTTACTTTTCATAAACATATGAAGGTATAAATACTAAAAAAAAATGCTTTATATTATTCATTTTCACTAAATTTCATTTCTAAACTGAATTTTGCCTTAAAATGTAATACTAGTAATGTCCAGTTGGAAAATATTACTAAGGTTACTCGTAGAAATTGAACAATGAAAAATACAAATTCATGTATACAGAAAGTTCAGTAATTACATGACATAAAACTTAAATGAAGTCCAAGTTTGTTGCTGGTCAAAGTTATTCAAATGAGAAAAGTCACATGGTACAATGAAACAGGTTTAAAGCACATGTCTAATGTTTTTGTTTTGAATGGAAGGCTGTTACACTATTCATACTTACTCCATCAAGTATTTTATATAAAAAAAAATAGAAGTAACATAGAGACCTAATGGGTAACTTTTTTGATTATTGGCCCATAATTATGATATTCATAGTCAGAGTTAGTATATATCATACATTAACATACATCAAGAAAAAAATGAATTTTTAAGAATTATTTTTTGAAGATTTATAGAAGTCAAACGGACTATAGTAAATCTGTTTTCAGAATTAGCAAAATAAATTGTGACCCCCAATTTTTTTCTTTGGAAAATTGACAGTTTCTTTAATCTTGAGGGAAAAAAAAATGACCCCCTCCCAAAAAAAAAGTTTTGTTTACCCCCTAAAATTTTTTTTTACCCCCCCCCTCCAAAAAAAAAATATTTGAAGAGAATTTTCTTTTGAGGAAAAAAAATTGCCCCCCCCCCCCCCAAAAAAAAAAATTAAAAAAATTTTGAAGAAATTTGTAAAATGTGGTACAAATTATGAGACATCCATACATTTAAACATAACTTATTGCCTGAAAACTAGAAAAATGCTTGTTTTAGACCCTTTCTGGCCCCTAATTCCTGAACGGTTTGGGCAATTACCCCCAAAATGAATCCCAACCTTCTACTTGTGGTATTGAACCTTGTGGTACAATTTCAGAGCAATCAAATACTTATACACAAGTTATTGTCCTGAAACTAGAAAAGTGCTTGTTTTGGCCCCTAATTCCTAAACGGTTGGGACCATCACCCCCAAAAACAATCCCAACCTTCCTTTTGTGGTATTGAACCTTTAGATTAAATTTTATAGAGATCCATACACTTAAACTAAAGTTATTGTCCGGAAACCAAATGTCTTCGGACGACGCTGATGCTGACGCCGACGCCGACGTGATACCAATATACGACCGCAAAAGTTTTTGCGGTAACTTTTGCGGTCGTATAAAAACAGTTAATATACTACAATGCCAAAAGTATATAAAATATGGACCGTCGCATTTAACATGTTTAAAGAAACGTACTTCACTCGAAGGCAGAATATTGATCAATATTGTGCTAGTTGAAAGGCTAATGAAAAATAACATGATTTTTGCTAAAATCTGATAAACTTTACTGCTGTATGATGTTATCAAGCCACACCTGAATATAGAGAGCCATGAAAACAAGATACGCTTTCTCAAATGATACATAATATAGGATGGTCATATAAGGCTATTTTAAAAATAGACATCTTTTACTACGAAGCGAAACAAATGGAAATTCTCGCTCTATTTATAAATATGACAACGAAATAATCTATTTATAGCGATAAATTGTATGGTAGTAAGGTAAGATTTTTATAACGTAATTGTTTTTCATTATGCCAGTTTTGTTACCGTTGTTTTCAAGCGGTTTATCAGACATATCTTACAATTTGTCACGTTAATAATGAAACGCCGGACAGAAGCTTCATTAAACATGTTAAATCTTATCTTCAAAAGCAGGACAAATATCAACATGTCACTGCAAAGAAAGGACACGAGTTGGATGTGCAAGCGGTGACGAGGAAATAATCTCACTGCGTTAGTAGAACATTACACTAAAAAGACGAAGCATTTATTGTTACTCTTCATCATAATCAAAATATGAAAGTTTTCCGAGTTACTCCATAAGATTGTTTTTGTATAATAATATTACATTATGTTGATGCTTAATTTTTTCCCCATTTGTATATTCAGATGTAATAAATTTATGATATAAACAAAGTGTTTTAATCTGTCTAAAATACGTTTATTGACTTTAAAATGCCATAAATCGATTAAAACAAACATATGAATAAAAAGAAATGAGGGGTAAACGTCACCGAAGCAGCAACCCCATAACAACTAATCAAATTTAAACCTAATTGTAACATGAATGGCAATTTTTCCTTTGATCTTCAAGTCAGTTAACTTCGGTTATTTTGAGAGGAGTGCTTTAACTGAATGATTTTTATGCCCCCGCCATAGCGGTGGGGGCATTAAGTTTTACCCTTGTCCGTCTGTACGTACGTACGTCCGTACGTCCCAAAATTGGTTTCCGTTCTCTAACTTGAGTTTTCCTCAACCAAATGTTATGAAACTTATACACAATGCTTATTACCACAAAACACAGATCAAGTTTGAATTTTGGTGGCGTCACTTTAACCGTTCTAGAGTTATGCCCCTTTATAAATGGAAAAATTGCAAAATTTTTAGTTTCCGTTCTCTAACTTAAGTTTGCCTCAACCAAATGTTATGAAACTTATACACAATGCTTATTACCACAAAACACAGATCAAGTTTGAATTTTGGTGGCGTTAATTTAACCGTTCTAGAGTTATGCCCCTTTATAAATGGAAAAATTGCAAAATTTTTATTTTCTTCTAAATATCAAGTAATTTTTAAACGACCGCAAAATTTTTTTGCGGTCGTATATTGGTATGACGTTGGCGTCGTCGTCGTCGTCGTCGCCCGAAGACACATTGGTTTTCGCAAAATAACTTTAGTTTAAGTGAACGGATCTCTATGAAATTTTACCATAAGGTTCAATACCACAAAAGGAAGGTTGAATTGATTTTGGGGGTAATGGTACCAACAGTTAAGGAATAAGGGGCCAAAAAGGGGCCAAAAATAAGCATTTTTGTAACTTCCAGACAATAACTTGTGTGTTAGTGTATGGATCTCTCTGACATTGTACCACAATGTTCCATATCACAAAGGAAATGCTGGGATTGATTTTGGGGGTAATTGCCTTAAAATTTTAGGAATTAGTGGCCAAAAAAGGGGCAAAAAACAAGTATTTTTCTAGTTTCATGACAATAACTTGTTCGTAAGTGTATGGATCTTTCTGAAATTGTACTACAAGGTTCCATATCACAAAGGAAAAGCTAGAATTGAGTTTGGGAGTAATTGCCTAAAACGTATATGAATAAGGGGCCAAAAAAAGGACCAAAAATAAACATTTTTCTAGTTTCCAGACAATAACTTGTGTTCAAGTGTATGGATCTCTCTGAAATTGTACTGCAAGGTACCATACCACAAAGGGAAGGCTGGGATTGAGTTTGGGGGTAATTGCGGAATTTGGGGCCAAAAAAGGGCAAAAAACAAACATTTTTCTAGTTTCAGGACAATAACTTGTGTGTAAGTGTATGGATCTTTATGAAATTGTACTACAAGGTTCCATATCACAAAGGGAAAGCTGGGTGTGAGTTTGGGGGTAATTGCCTAAAACGTTTAGGAATTTCGGGCCAAAAAGGGGCCAAACAACAAGCATTTTACAGTTTCCAGTCAATAACTTGTGTTCAAGTGTATGGATCTCTCTGAAATTGTACTGCAAGGTACCATACCACAAAGGGAAGGCTGGGATTGAGTTTGGGGGTGATGAATCATAAGGGGGTTCAAAAAATTGGGGGGGATTTTTTTTCCTTTTTTTTTTCTTTAAAATTTTCCATTGTAAGTTGGTTATTTTTTATTGATATATAAAAGCAAATAATAATGATATGGTTTGATTTCATCAAAAATTGAAATATTGGGTTTCTTTGATATGTTGAATCTAACCGTGTATTTAGATTCTTAATTTTTGGTCCCGTTTTCAAATTGGTCTACATTAAGGTCCAAAGGGTCCAAAAATATACTTAGTTTGATTTTAACAAAAATTGAAATCTTGGGGTTCTTTGATATGCTGAATCTAACCGTGTATGTATTTAGATTTTGGATATTGGACCATAATAGGTAAATTAAAAATTTTTAAGTTCTAAGACCACATTCATTCTGTGTCAGAAACCTATGCTGTGTCAAATATTTAATCACAATCCAAATTCAGAGCTGTATCAAGCTTGAATGTTGTGTTCATACTTGCCCCAACTGTTCAGGGTTCGACCTCTGTCCATGATTATAGTTGAATCAACTACAATCAATGCTTTATAAAATGCAATGTTTAATTTTGCCTTCCACTGATAAAACACAAATCAAGTTGAATTTGGGTAGTGTCACTTTAACCATTATTGAGTTATGCCCCTTTATAAATCGAAAGATTGCAAAATTTTTAGTTTCCATTCTGTAACTTAAGTTTGCCCCAACCAAACATTATGAAACCTATACACAATATTCATAACCACAAAACTAAGATCAAATACAAATTTCTTGTTTCCGTTTTCTAACTTGAGTTTGCCTCAACCAAATGTTATAAAACTTATACACAACCGTTCTAGGGTTATGCGTGTTTACAAATAGAAAAATTGCTGAATTTTTAGTTTCTGTTCCCTACTTAAGTTAGCCTCAACCAAATGTTATGAGACTTACACACAATGCTTATTATAGTCCGATTGACTTCTATAAATCTTCAAAAAATAATTCTTAAAAATTCATTTTTACAAATAAACATTTTTTTTTCTTGATGTATGTTAATGTATGATATATACGAACTCCGACTATGAATATCATAATTTTGGGCCAATAATCAAAAAATTTACCCATTAGGTCTCTATGTTACTTCTATTTTTTTTATATAAAATACTTGATGGAGTAAGTATGAATAGTGTAACAGCCTTCCATTCAAAACAAAAACATTAGACATGTGCTTTAAACCTGTTTCATTGTGCCATGTGACTTAACTCATTTAAATATCAAAGGACACTATACATGTCATCAAAAATGACCATCATCTAAGTTTTTTTATAACTGGTTTTTATACGATTTTATAAGTGAACTTGCATGTATCTACAAAGATGTTATTTGTGGGAAAAATATCATAATCAGATGTTTAATTTTATTTTTATTCCTTACCAAATCTTCATTTTTGTTACCTTAATTTGATTATATATTTATATATATATCTTATAAAAGAATATAAGCAAGCTTTTATTGCTTAAATCATGATGACAGTATTAACAAAATGGAGAGGCTCTAAAAAGTTTTATCAACAAGTATTTACAGAATCCATTCAATATTTACTTTTCATAAACATATGAAGGTATAAATACTAAAAAAAAAATGCTTTATATTATTCATTTTCACTAAATTTCATTTCTAAACTGAATTTTGCCTAAAATGTAATACTAGTAATGTCCAGTTGGAAAATATTACTAAGGTTACTCGTAGAAATCAGGAACATATACATTGAGATATACTGTTCCCAGTAGAAATTGAACAATGAAAAATACAAATTCATGTATTATACAGAAAGTTCAGTAATTACATGACATAAAACTTAAATGAAGTCCAAATTTGTTGCTGGTCAAAGTTATTCAAATGAGAAAAGTCACATGGTACAATGAAACAGGTTTAAAGCACATGTCTAATGTTTTTGTTTTGAATGGAAGGCTGTTACACTATTCATACTTACTCCATCAAGTATTTTATATAAAAAAAAAAATAGAAGTAACATAGAGACCTAATGGGTAACTTTTTTGATTATTGGCCCAAAATTATGATATTCATAGTCAGAGTTAGTATATATCATACATTAACATACATCAAGAAAAAAAATGTTTATTTGTAAAAATGAATTTTTAAGAATTATTTTTTGAAGATTTATAGAAGTCAAACGGACTATACCACAAAACTCAGATCAACTTCAAATTTGGGTAGCGTCACTTTTACCGTTCTTCAGTTATGTCCCTTTATAACTATATGATATGCAAGCGGGGGCATCATCTGTGTCCACATGTGGACACTATTTACATTTATTTAGTTATTGCACTCTTTAGTCCCACAATGTGTCGCTTGTCATAGGAAAAGCAAAGAATTGGAGGAGCTTAGACCAGTGCTCTAACTTCCTTCTCAAAAGTTGTTATTTCACTGTCTAGCTCCGCCTTCCTGGCTTAGTAAACTATGAAATCAATGACCATAAAATGTCTTAATAAATTTAAACAAAATGCATGCAGAACAATATATCCAAAACAAAATTGGAGGGTGGGGTGGGGTGAGGGGCTTACCCTAACACTAGCCAAACTTGTAAACCCTAAATTAAAAATGGTTTCCTATACATTTTTCTTGCATCAAATGAATGCTCGAGGAGAGCTACAAAAAGGAATAACGTGGTCTATAAACGAAGGGGTGATATTGATAAATTGGTCGAACCTTATTTTTATCGTGACAATATAAATATCCCAAAAAAAAAATGTCACTGGAATTTTAGTCGTTTAATTTCCTCCACTTAATGAAAGAATAAAAGTCGAATAAAATTTTGAATCACCCATCACCCCCTTTTTCATGAGTTTTCGGGGAGAAAAAATATTCAATAACACGTAAACTGGCTATCGAGCCTGAATCCCACGGCAACAATTCATTTAAATGTACCTGTATCTGACATACAAATCCAACTGACATCTGCTGCATGAAATCAGATATAGTATCACGCCACTATTTGATTGACATATTGAAAAGTACAATACAGTTTTATTGGTCAGCATTTAACCTTTGACATGTGTTATAGTCCATTGATGTTATAAATCATAATTAGCCACGCCTTACTCATTAACATATTTAATCCACTCAAAGCTACGCTTTTCATGAATTAAATACGTTAATTCGTAAAAGGCGTGCTATATATATAACTTAGATAACTTTTAAAAGGTCAACATAATGTCTTTCATGATATAATAGTTTCTCTGCAATATGTAAAGCTTAAAATCGCCCCTAGCTACAGAAATATAACATAAGAAAAAGAGCATGCATGCAAATCTATTTACCAGTATAATAGACAGCAAAACACATATTTACAATTATAGTTATTGAGCAATCAAGTCGGTATATATTAGTTAAAGTTAAATATTTATACATGATACTGTGTATATACACTGCACAGCTTGTTTTATCATTGTCTGCCATAATTAATGTAAAGTATAACTATTTATATTTTATTCATATTTATATTTCAGACAAAAGGGAAAAAAATGTCTTCAGATTCGGAGTGTACATTGTTTCAATGTCCAATATGTCTAGAAGAATTTATAAAACCTAAAGCTTTGCCATGTCTACATACTTTCTGTAAGTCATGCATAAACGAATTTATTCGCAAGTCAACAACCTTAACAGATTTCTTTGTTGTGTTTAATTGTCCGGTTTGTAGAAAAGAGGTCAAACTTGAATCATGTCCGTCTGATCCCGCGAAATATCTTCAGGATAATCATATAATACAAAGTATGAAGGAAACTTGCCTTTCCAAAGGAAAACTCTGTAGCATTCACAGCTCTAAACAGGCTGACCATGTATGCACAGAACATAATCAAATTGTATGTTATAAATGCATCATCGATAATCATAGGTTCTGTATCGTCACAGAAATATATGAGGCTATAGAAAGTAAAAGACACAGTATTACACAAGTCCAAAATCAACTTATAATTGGCAAAGAAAATATGGGGACTTCAGTCAATGCTCATTCTGAAGAGAAAAAAAGAATATTAGAAAGTGAAAGAAAATGTACGGATGGTGTAAAGCTATACGTGGACGAGTTGAAAAATCTCATCAAAAAGTTAGAGAGTCAAATTTTGGATGACATACAGAAAAATACAAAACAAATACTTCAAAGAGTTGATAAGAATCTTACGGAAACCAATAAGGAGATGACATATCTTAAAACGGTATTAGACGAATTTGAAATAATCAACCTCAAAGACATTACAGATTTCAACAAGTTGACATCCATAGAACAGAAATTAAAAACAGCACATCAGCGAATGAACAAAACCGGTCGCAAATCGTTATCTGATATACACTTGTTAAGATTTCAGCCAAATATGGACTTGTTTAAGGTTCTAAAGGAAAACGATGCGATTGGAAAAATATCCTATACAGGAATTAAAGTTCCTGGTAATGCAAAGACTTCTAGCACACAAGATGTATTGAAATGTACAGAAACAGACGCTAAAACGAAACAGGTTCTAAAACTGCCTTTGACAACCGAGAATACTGGTTCTTCTGCGAATAAGGCAACTCACACAAGGCCTGTGAACAAGGTGGTTTCATTAAAAGACGACAACCAACAGCTGATGTCTTTAAAGACAAATACGGACAGGGAAGATTGCTTTCTTACAGGAATTACACTCTTGCTGGACGACAGCATGATTGTAGCTGACAATGGAAACATGAAAATTAAACATTTTAGTGCTGGTTGTAAGTTTGTTAGTCAAAAAGTCTTCTCTTCTGAACCTTGGGATGTTTGCAGAACAGAAGAAGACGACTTCATTGTTAGTTTTCCAAGCGACAATTTGATCCAGTATTTTACCTTTAGAAAAGGCCTTATCATCCCGAAACAAGACAAAATATTAACGAACGGCAGATGTTATGGACTGTCCTATCATTGTAATAAAATAGCAACATGTAATAGGCGAGCATCGGGTGTTTTTATAGAGGTATATGCGGGTCTAAATGGAATTATTGCTGAGTTATGTGTCTCTGCTTCAGTGCTTTCAGAATGTTGGTACCTTTCGTTTTGCTCAGACGGAGAAAACTTAGTATACACAGATCAGACTACCAATTTCGTTTCTTGTGTTAATTTAATGTCAGGTAGAGAGAAGTGGAGAAAAACTATACGGTCTCCAAGAGGCATTGCAAGATGTCAAACGTTTATGTATGTAGTCAATTGCAAAGCCGCAAAGTTAGTGTGTTTATCAGAGGACACTGGTTTGCCAAAAAGAGAGATTGATTGTAGCAGTTTAGATGGTGGAGCATTTAGTGGTGTTACCGTCAATACCGACCAGACAAAAATATTTCTATTACCGATGAAGGGGTCAGAGGCATTAGTGATCAAATAACTTGTAATGATCATGCACATAAAAGAATGATGTTATGGAGTTCAGAATTATTAATTAAATAAATTATGTCAAAACGAAAGTATGTGATTTTTTTCACAAACTGATGATAGAATAGATATTGGATGAAATACTTACGCTTTAATATATTCCAGATGCCTTAAATATTGTTCTAAGACGTGAAGTTTTGACTTATGTTTTGGGGGGAAAGAAATGTTTTTGAGGTTTGTTTTTTTTTTGGTGGGGTGAAGAGAGTGGTATTCGTTTTTTTCACGTTTTTGTGAAATATTTATTATCAACTTATGCTATAGAATATTAACATTGTCGTGGTACATGTGTACTAACATATGAAAATACGTGATAGATTTTATGTGTTGATTGCAACAAGCCTTCAAATAGAAATTATTATAATAATCTCTCTGAAAACGATCATGATTTATTGCTTTAGTCCTCCACTCTGTTTGATCAGTACTTCTTACGTTTTTTTCTTTTTGGTGAATGTTTATCAAAAATGTTTTGCAGAAGCTGATACCGCAGATAAATCTACTGAAAGAAATGGAGTTTTACCAAGACGTTTTAGTTAAAATTCTTAAATGACATGTAATTAATCGTTACACGCACCTGTTTTCACAAATTTTTGATAAACTTTTACAGGATAATCTGGAGTTATAGATTCTAGGTGCAGGGGGTGATCATTTTATTGAATTTAAAGTTTCTCAGTATTTTCTTTGTACTATTATGTTCTACTGGTCGTTTGTAAATCCAGCTTTCGGGTTTTTGGCTTTAGGCGTTCCTGGTGCGGGTTGGTCCAGAGGTGCGATTCGGACGCATGAGATTTTTATAGTGTTGTTTTCATTTTAGATAACCTTGTTTTTATTTTTTACTTAAGTGCCAATATGCCTAAGAATCAGGCAGTGGTGAAAACATGACAAAAAAGAAACCAACTCGGGTTTATATTAATTTAAATTTAGAATATACAATTATTGTCTTTTGATGAGGTAAATGTGTGGTTTTATTGACTTTTGAAAAACTGTCACAAGGTTTTTCAAAAGTCAATTAAACCACATATTTACCGAAACAAAAGACAGTAATTGTTTTATTCCATGTTCCGAGACAGAAAAATATGTGTAAAATAACAGTTATTTACCAAAACCAACTAAACGTCAAACATTGTATCGTTATTATACACGTAAAAGCACGCGATGTTTTGCGCGGTGAATATACTTTTTCCGCAGGTGAATATGCTTATTTATTCAAAATCCCATTCATATAGAAAAACCTGCTAACAGTTGGAAAGCAGGTCACGGTTTGACCCCAAGTCTATCAGCAACAATAGAGTCACGTGACCGTGAAAATTCAGTAAAACTACGGATGAGAAAAACCTCACTTTTACTCACTAAAATAGCACTGTCATGGTAAAAACTTATTGATCAAAATAATCTTGAATATACATAGTTTTAAGACGTCAAAACTTACACATCAACTCAAAGTCCTTTATTCTTTATTTTATCTTCAAACTTGAAGTTTGTGTGAAAATTGTCAAGGCTCCTGATCGAAAAATCTAAATATTTTCGAGGAAACTAAAAATGATGGGCTGAATTTAAATTTAATAAAGCATCTCATTAAGACAAACACTCGATATGAATATCTAGGCAATACAGTTTTGGATACGCAAACGTCAAGTTATGTTCAACACGAAGCGGTGGTTTTTTGTCGATTTGTGCAAGTGGTTATCTCCCCTTGATATCACCAGTCAAAAATAAAAACCCACCAAAATGAATAAAAAGGAGTTTATTTTACAAAAATCAAGAAGAAAATAAAAGAAAGTCGATTAACAACTAGGCTATGTGATTATAATATTAAAAAGAGATACTTCCCTACTTTTCAGAGAAGGATTACAGGTAAAAATAAAAAGACAAAATAAAGGCAACAGTAGTATACCGCTGTTCGAAACTCATAAATCGATAGAGATAAAAACAAATCCGGGTTACAAACTAAAACTGAGGGAAACGCATCAAATATAAGAGGAGAACAACGACACAACAAAAACACAACATTGAAATGTAACACACACAGAAACGAACTATAATGTAACAATGGCCATTTTCCTGACTTGGTACAGGACATTTTAAGAAAAAAATGGTGGGTTGAACCTGGTTAAGTGGTTTTGTCGCATGCCAAACCTGCCGCTTTTATGGCAATGTTAAATATAACATTAAAATGACAACATTGCATGACAGGACTACAATACAAATAAATGGGAGGACATATAGGACAAAGAAACACACGGATAATAGCTAACAAAAGGTACTAGGTTTAAAATTTAATACGCCAGACGTGCGTCTTGTCCACACTTGAAGACTAACCAGTGACGTTCAGATGAAAAAAGTTTGATAGCCAAAACAAGTACAAAGCTAAAGAGCACCGAGGACCAAAACTTCCAAAAAGTTGCGCCAAAAAAATGGTAAAAATTGGATCTAGAAACCTAGCTGAATTGATATAAATTAGCTCTGGCTGAGGAAATTTACTTTCAGTTTGTAATTTTTATAATGGGATATGGGATCACTCCTAATGGATTTTTGTTTAAATACTTCTAACAATGTTTAATGCAATAAAACATACTGTATACAATTTAAATAATGTTTCTGAAAAAAAAAATAGTACTGACCATTTATATTTTATATTTTAATAAAGTGGGACCAAGAGTCACAATTTAGTTTCTTCAAAGTAAAAAAGCCTTTTTACTCAAGCCTATGTTTCTTAGTTGAACAGTAGAGTACTGCCTAGAAAATATCATAAAGAAAAAGGATAAGTTTACCAAAAATATTGACAGAAATTCTGTAAAAAATAATACTTAAAATTATAAGCGACATAATTTTGACTTTAAAATTATTATTAGTGTAAAATTCAATTATTAGATTAGCAACCACAGCTAGTAGCCCTTGCCAAATTTCTCAGGGTATTGTACAGATTATGAAAGTAAACTTAAAAAAAAATGGGGCTTCTACTCTTCAGGGTGCTGTTTCAGCTGGTATATATTTTTATAAATAAAGTATTGTATATTTTACCTTAATAATTGGATATCTATATCACAGATGACAGTTGGTGGGACAATTCTTGTGCCTTTTACTTAATTATCAATGGATTGATAAATTTGACAAGATTAGTTTGCCATTGATTTGAATAAATTCAATTTTGTAAGAACACATCTCTATGAATTAAATTTCTTGTTTGACTTCATAAGCTATTTTTTTTTCACTTATTACTGTGGCTTATTTAGAAAAGAGATAACCAAAAATGCAAGGTTTTCAACTTTTAACCTAAATATAATAAACTGACCTTCATTTCCTTTTTCATGTTTTTTCCTCCAGAAATTTTCATTACAAGGTATTTTCTATTGCTATTTTTTGTGTTTTTGTCCATAGGCTATCATTAATTTGTCAGATTTGCTTCCAGTATGAATGAAATATTCTAAGACGTACAGTTTTAAGCGATGAACATTCACTGTTTCAAACTAGAAATGCCGCCAAAACCAGCTACAAATTGACATGACTTGTGGTCACTAAAATTGTTGTATAAGAGTAAAAAATGATGGCTTCATAATTGGTTAAAAATTTGAAATAGGTTACCCGGTTTCATTAAAGATTTTTACCTTCTTTTCCGTTTTTGGATACGCAAACGTCAAGTTATTCAAATTCGATGTTTTTGGCGAACAAAAAAGATGGCTGATAATTTTTAGAACGGACAGGATAAAGAAATAGCAAATAAAAGTTATTTTTGGCAATGTTTCTATGTCGTATTGAAACTATATTGCTCACAAAACCTACAAACTTTAAAAATCAATTATCATAAAAGCATGACAAGTTGAAAACTTTTTTTTAAACGTCGATTTTTTAGCCGATTGATTTCGATGACTTTTTAACGTCACCGACGACTGTAACGCCACCTAATTAATCCCCCCTGCTATTTTTGCTGATAGAGCTTGACGTCTTAACGTCTTTTCTGTTATATTCGTGTGTTATGGTAAAGATAATTAATCACCCCCTTCATTTATTAGATTTTAGTTTGGTTCAACGAAATTTATACGATATATTTGGTTTACAGTTTGATTCAGAAGAAACACCGACATAGCTAGATAATACAATTAATTATCTAATTACTACCACAATTTGATATTAATAAGTATTGTAATTTCATTGTTATTTAAGGAATGACTGTAATATTTTTTCTGTCTATGAAGAAATAACATAAAAAATGTGCACACTGAATAACCCGCGTAGCAGGTTATTTTAAAGTGTGCACCACATTTTTTATATTATTTCGAATAGACAGAAAAAATATTACAGTAATTTCTTATAATTTAATTCTAAATTCCATTTTAAACCGGAGTAAACCATGAAAAAACGTTGATGACGTCACGGTCACATGACAAAATTAGGTCTATGAGATGATAAACATAACAACGTCAGCTAATCAGAAGACGCGTTACATCCAAAATTAAATTATTTTAAATATATGTAATGTCAGTATTACAAATCTAATCTTGAATCAATCCTAATCCTATCTTATTTTTGGGAAATATTTTTACAAATTCAAATGTGACGTCACTTTGTGTGTTTTTTTTAGAATTTCAAATGTGACGTCACTTTGTGCGTTGAGGCTTTGGCTAACTCGGCTGTGTATTTTTATGTGTTGGATTAAGTTGTTTTATGTAATGTATCCGTTTTTATTCTGTAGTTAGTCCCCACTTAGGTTGTATCATGTATATCTATTATTATATAGTCATTTTATAAAAATTACTGTTTGCAAAATTATAAATTATTCAAAATAACGATAAGGATGTTCTTGTCCCAAGCAGAAAACCCTGGCCGTGTTAGGCGCAACTTTTTGAAAGTTTTGGTCCTCGGTGCTCTTCAGCTTTGTACTTGTTTTGGCTTTCAAACTTTTTTCATCTGAGCGTCACTGGTTGGTCTTGTGTGGACGAGACGCACGTCTGTCGTATTGAATTTTAAGCCTAGTACCTTTTGTTATCTATCATTTGTGTGTTTCTTTGTCCTATATGTTCTTCCATTTATTTGTATTGTGGTCCTGTCATGTGATGTTGTCGTTTTGGTGTTGTGTTTGACGTTGCCATTAAAGCGGGAGGTTTGGCATGCCACAAAACCAGGTTCAACCCACCATTTTTTTTCTTAAAATGTCCTGAACCAAGTCAGGAAAATGGCCACTGTTATATTATAGTTCGTTTCTGTGTGTTTTACATTTTAATGTTGTGTTTTTGTTGTGTCGTTGTTCTCCTCTTATATTTGATGCGTTTCGCTCAGTTTTAGTTTGTAACCTGGATTTGTTTATATCTCTATCGATTTATGAGTTTCGAACAGCGGTATAAGTTACTGTTGCCTTTATTGACGACAACGGACGTTTCCAAGGAC